TCTGAGAAAGGATGATTTGATATGCGCAAAAAAATAAAGATTGTGATTTTTCAAGATACGTTGTGCTAACTTGCTTCATCATGCTTTCCACTCTGCCACCTTCAACCCACTACGGTATTCTTGGTCATCTACGCAGTTTCTAAGCTGTTAAAAGTTCCAGTGCCTTCATCTACGCAATTTAAAATCATTAAATATATGTACATATATATATATATATATACCCAGTTTTTTATTCTTATATTTTGGTAAATTGTGCATTTTTTGCTTTAAATGATTGAATTATCTTGTTCTTATGTTCCGGTTAAGGTTTCCTACCTTTAGTAAATATGCATGCAATAGCTGTAGAATTATTAACAATTTAAAAGCTGTTTAAGTGCGGTTAAGCCTAATGGAACAGCCATATTTGTTTACATTTGAAACTTAGTGGAAAAGGGAATTAAGTCACTTTCAGCCCCTTCAGTGTCTTTTTTCCGAGTGGGACCAAAAGTAAACTTTCAGTTTTGTGCACTGAAAAAACACCTGCCTTCTTGCCTCCCCTGCCCCCGACCGAATTGCTTGTTTTTGCTTAGAAACTAATTTTAATTGTAAAAACTGTTTTTTTTAAATTGGCTTAACTGTATTTGGTGATTTATGATTTTTATGCTTATCAATTTTTAGTGAAGATATTTTGACTTTTTATGTACTTTGCCTTGATGCGAATTGAGAATTGAATTAATTGAATGAGAAATATATCTCCAACTAAATTCCATTAAATAAGTTTGAATGAAATTCAGCAAAAAGCGTGCATCGTTTAACAGGCTGTACAAGGAAGTTATGTGGTGTCCACATCATATTTTTTATTGTCATTATAAATCAGAAATTTCTAAATTATATGCTAAAACTGCTAGCGCAAAATTATGCGAGGGAGCAAAACATGCGAATAAACGCTTACTTCATCAGTTATCAACTGACCTTTCTGTTTTCAAAGTCAGCAAGCTACCCTGAGAATCTCCCGTAAAAGTGACCTTATGTTGTTAATTATTGCTTCCCAGAAATTAATCAGAATTTTCATATTTGGTTTAATATCCTTTATCGATTATTTCTCTTGTATCAGCCGGGAAACAGTGAAAAATTATACAAGTAAGTCACGCGCTGGTTTTACATATATTTTATCAGTCACACGCGATGAAATTTCCGCAACAACTTCAACAACTTGTTAGCGTAGGTGCTCTTTATTATTCATGGAAAGTGAGAGCTCTTATACAGCCCAAAGCGAAAATAAGAACAAGAAATAATGGAACAGAATATTTCCTTTGAACTGCTGAAATATTAAAAAGGTTTATTTGAGAGTGATAATTAGATCGTAAAGTTTCGGAAAGACGATATTTTCCACATCATCAAAAAAAATAAATCATTATATTTTGTGCGAATTTTAAACAGGTCTTAATAATATTTTATATTTGGTGACACAACCTAACAGTCACTGTGAAGCTTATGCTTCGATTTGTAGCCATTTAACAATATTTTTTATTTTAGTACACAAACTTATTATGTTAATAACGTTTTGTAATTGAATTTTAAAGATGTCTTCATCAAATTATTATAAATATAAAAAAACAATCATTTATTCAAGTAAACAGCTTTTGGCAAAATAACTCATATAGTTTATTCTTCGATATAGAGATAATTTTACTCAATTAATTTTCAAAGAATCTAGACTAGAACAATATTATCTAGAATACGTATGGCAGAAAAGCATTAAAATCTTAATTTTTATTAGATTTATTCCATAAATCGTTGCTGCTATATAATAATAAGATTTTATACTAAAAAAATGTTTAAAAGATATTGACTTTCACAATCTTGTCAGCAGTCTGCACTTATGCAAAATAAACCACTATGTTTAAATCGAATTTGCTTGATATAAGCTGTAATCCAAAACGGGATAAAAATTCCATCAGTATTTTATACTTTGCGTTGGCCTGTAGTCACACTTGCACACGATATGTTAATTATCTGGGCAAAATGCAATAAATCTCTGTGTGATATCGCAATTTAGTTCAAATTACATTCGCGCTTTAATTATATTAAAATTTTGTTGATGTTGTAACTCTAGGGTAAATACTCTAGGGAAATATACTAATAGTTTTATTAAAAAAGTTGTTCAGACCTTCAGAACTTTTCTTTAATTGATAAATATTTAAATTCATTCCGGCCATGCAATAAAGAACTATAGCCAACATTATTTTTAAGAGGTGGTCAAAAAATTTCCTTTCGAAGGCGGTTCAATACATATTTGGTATGCCAATCATGCAAAATAACCTTGAGCGTTTAAGATAATCATGTGACCTCGTCATCAAGTTGAACATACTTGTTAGGTAAAACTACATTTTCTGCTGCTTGAAGAAGTCCGAAACTGTCTTCTGCATTTCTCCTTCCAAAAACGTCGAACTTTCAAGAACTTTTCCAAGGGGTCGAAGGCTGGAAAATTGTATGTGGAGAGATCAGGACTGTGCGGATAAGGATAAGGTGGATGCTCGAGTATATCTCACTTTAGTTTGTGTAAGTACTGCTCTACGACATTTGAGATATGGGGACGTAATTTATCATGAAACAGAATCATTCTATTCCACAGATTTTCCAGACATTTAGCCTTAATAGCACATCATAATATCTTTGTTCTGCAGTATTGTTCGCCAGTAATGAGAAAGTAAGTCCTTGAAATCGATAAGCAATGGACCCTGGAAATCAAAGAACAGGGTAAACATCACTTTTCCAACAAACTACTGGCTCTTGAATTTGTTGAAAAGAGGTGACGAAGGATAGTACCAGTGCAAAGTCAACCCTTTTGACTCAGGTTTTCGTTGCCTGCAACAATGAGTTTAAGGAACGTGCTGCCCTTAACATTGGCACGCATCAAGTGCTTCAGGCAATCATCCATCCACTTCAATTCTTGTTCGGAATCCAACGCTCAGGGTATCCATTGGTTGCAGACCTTACGATAGCCTAACTTCTGCCGGATAATGTGTTGCACGCTACTGAAGCTTATGCTCAGATCTTTCCAGAACGTTCGAATAGATATGCGACGTTCCGCCCTAATCGCATCATCAACTACCCGCTTGTTGTTACCTGTAATGAAGTCTGTGGAGGGCTTCCCATATCGAGTGTCATTTTGAACTGAGCAGCGCTAAGCATGGAACACCATTCCACAAGAGTGTTTTTAGATATGCATCTTTCTCCATATACATTCTTCATTCTCCAATTAATGTCTACAGGTTTTTGTCCTTCGTCAGCCAAAAAAGAATAGCAGGAATTTGGTCCCGTTTTTATTTTGAGGGATACGCATTTGGCAATAACGTCACCATTGAACATTTTCCGCACATCCTTCGGAAATAGACGAATGCCACAATAATCTCATGCCAAGATGTCCGTGCTCATACACCCGCATCAGCGAAGCGCTGATTTGCCTACGTCCTCAAACGAAACTGCAGCGACGTCCTCAAACGAAAACCTTTTGATCATTCCTTATATATTGTTTTATCATTGAATTTTAGAAGTTTATGTGTTAAGAAATTCTCACTAAATTGAAATTTTTATAGTTTACAAAATAGTAATTCTGAGAAATTACATAATTCTCCTTCGAGTAAATCTTAATGAATGCCAAAAATATAAAAATAGGCATTTTATCGGAATTAATTTCTATGCGAAAGCGATTAGGTATGAAAACATTTGCTGCGCTGTTTCAAGAAAAAGCATTACCCTTTCTTTTCAAAAACATTAATGCAGTTGATTCTTAATCTTATATAATTTATATAATCCATCATATATAATTTAATTAATAATTAATTATACATAATTTAATCATATATAATTTAATTCATAATTTTATTTATTTAATTAGATTCTTAATCACATACCATTTAAATTATCCTTTGCTTCATCTGTTAAAACTTGAGTATAATTTTTAATCTTTCAAATAATTAAATACCAAAGTCTGCTGCTGACCGTTTACACAAACACTTGATTAACTTGTACATATTTTGTATGATATATATACATACCCATTCTTTCCATAAAATAATCTAGAAGAAATGAATGTAAAGAACTCTTGTGTTTTAATTTTCACCTTTACGAGCACATATTGATACAGAATGTTTGAAACACAGAATTTAATTGCTTATATAATCATGCGCGAGTAACTAGACGGTCTGAGGCATTGAAAAGGAAATATCACTCAGTTGTCGTAGCGGGAAGCATAGTGAAAAATGTTACGTCGCGGTCAAAACAGGAGGCTGAAGATAGAACTATTCTGCGAAAGAATGCTTACGGCCATGGAAGGCCATAACGTTGATTGTTTTAGCATCGATGTGTCATGTCTTGTAGAAACTAACACCGAGTCACATCAACAACACTTACAATTGTAAGTGCATCATCGAGATAACGATTTTAATTCATATTTCAATTTCCTTTTCAAAGTTTCCCTAGATTTTGGGAAAGGAAATGGTGACATGGAGCTACGTCCAACGATTAAGCGGTGGGGAGATAAAATGCATTTTATTTCTGGCCAAACACTCTTCCGGACGATTGCCTCTATGACAAGAGGCTTTGCCACGAAAAACAAATACATGGCGCTCTTTATGGTTTTTAACCATCATTCTTTGTATTCTTTTCGAGTAAATATTTTAAAATATCCAATTAGGATAGTAACACTCAATGTATTAGACATGATCAGTAACTTGTCACCAAGAAAGTTACTATTAATCAAGACTTTTGGCTTATTCATTAACGCCCACAAATCAGACTAAATGTTGCAAGATATATGGACAACGCATGTACATGAAACAATACCTCTTTACTTTTATTTATTAAATTACAGATAGCAGTTATATCTACAATTCAGAAAAAAATAGTTTTATTTCAACTGTATGTTATACTGTTTAGTATAACGAAAGACGCGAATGATAAAAATGAGTGACTAAATAAGAATTAACTCTACGAATAAAATTATCTTTTTTCTTCAGGTGTCGGTGGTTTCTTCCTGGATGCATCTGAAGCAGAAATGGGAGTAGTGTTTTCTACTTATATTTTCCAGTTGTCTTTCGCAACCACGGCGACCACCATCGTTTCGGGAGCTATGGCAGAGAGGTGCAATTTCTTGGCTTATTGTCTCTTTTCTTTCTTCAACACAGTCATCTTTTCTCTGCCAGCAGGTGGGTAGACTAATTTGTTGTTTATAAAGGTTTAAAGGTGAAGTGTTATAATTGCTGTCTAGATTAATAAACTATATTTTATATTTAATCAGTATATTAAACTTGGTGTCAAGATGACTTACTCTTTAATTTATGCGGAGTGTTTCAAAATGACTCGAAGACTATTTTTAATCTTATCCAGTTGTTCGTAAAATCATGATTGCAGTTTGCGAAATGAATCCGTTAAAATAGCTTTCAACCTAAGACAATTTACGTTGTATGACAAAAAGTGAAATAAAAATATAAATTTTTATATGCATCTTTAAGACAAATTTAAAAACGTTTTTCATTGCCAAATTTATTCCACAAAAAAGATTTAGCACTTCACGTTCAGAGCTGTCAGAGATATTTTTTATTAATTTTTCCATCGGGGATTTATAGCGTATAAACAATGTATGAAGACAGCAACTCCCAAATTCGAAAATTATTTAAATTTTTCCATACAGTTTCCTTTTATGTCAATGAAATGGGAAGCTAAAAACATGAGTTACATTTCTTATTTATATAAATACTTTTATTATAGAAATATTTAGTTTTCACAGAATCCTAGGAAGTTTAAGATTTTTTCTTTCCGGTTATATGAATGTGGTAAAAGACATACAGTTCTGACAATTTTCCAGCGCTAGTTTTGCAAATTATGCAAGAGAAATGAATAAAAATACTCTTTAGTGAGAAACTATTTACTTAATTGAAAAACATTCGAAGAATACTTGCGTAAAACGTTTAATTTTACTTAAACAAATCAGAAGTCTAACACAAAGGCAAATTTCTTTGTTACAATCACCTCTATTGTTCTGGACTTGCGAGAGGTACGAGTACTCCAGATCTAACTAGCGACGAGTTATTATCTTCCTTACTTTTGTTCACACGCCATTGTAGACAGTATTTTCTTTCTGAAGCCGAGAAATGAGAGATGTAATCCTTTCTGGGATTCGAATCATGGATCTCCTAATTGCTATCTAAATGTGCTGGCTATATATATCACGACCGTCTGCATAGGAAAATATGATAATTTCATATAAATAGATTGTCGTATTCATTTGCTTTTCTTCTTATTTCCGAATGTAGAACTTAAAATCATTCTTAAGTGACGAAGAACCTCCTTTGAGGTGAAGACCATTATAAGCATAATATATTATTATGTCTAGCCATCTCAGTTTACTAATATTAGGTAAGATCATGTAAGGTTTATTTAAATTTTATAACAGTTATTTTAAGTTTATGGCCTATCTCTTCTAGCTTCAATTTGCAATTGCTTACCAGAATGAGGTTTTAGAATCGCGTTAAATGCAAATGAGAAGTGGAAAGTAGTTAAGGCAAAGTTGCAAGGACTTCAGGAGAGAGATTTAGGATTCCTAAATAGCATGCGTTTGCGTTTTACCTGCATCTCTCTAACTGTTACTACGCTTGGCCGTATTACGTACCTTTTGATATCTTCGCTGGCTAAGTTAATATTACGCGCCAACTAGTTTAGAATTGTGTTAGTTTCGGCTAAATCATTTTAGTTAGTCATTAGTTAGTTCTTATTTCTTACGTTTTGTACTTAAGTAGAGGCTTTTCTGTACGCCCTGAGAAAGGGCCCATCTGTGATATCTTTGAGCAAATAAACGGTAATTAATCCTTCTTGAATTTACTTTCTGTTCTTGGACTTAAGCGATTATTCGCTTAGTAGTTCACTAGGTTCCTCAACATTACATTTAGCAAGATTAGAGTGAGGAACCCTACAGTCATTTTAGCCGCAGCATCAGTACGAGTGAGTTCATACTGAGGCTTGAAGTCACGTGTAACCTTCATTTCTGATGGCTAAAGGCAGAACCTACATTCCATTGGGTTCGGCCTATCCATCGTAGACCTCTTGTTAGAAATGCGCCACTGAATGTACCTCATATTCATGAAAACGCAGATTTTCATTTCAAATGTAAATTATTTTCTTGCGTATATTACAAAAATTCATTTCGTTTTAACTAAAAATATATACATAATTTCCCACGCTTAATTGTTAATCCTTTTAACATCTTCTAACTCTTTCATATATCACCTACAGGTAAACGAGGTTTAGGCAATTGAACTAAGTTTCCAATCTGACCAACTGGAAAACTGAAAGCACACGGACATCAACAGAATAGATTTAGGCAACTCCTCCTTATTTTGAATATAATCTCTTTTATTTATACAACCAAACACCGCTAAAACGAACTTCGAGGAACCGAAAATGTGGTTTGCTATATCCGATCCTTTAAAAAAAGGGATGATCTCACAAAATATTTTTAAAATTGAGTAATCAATCACACGGCAAAAAATTGTCACATCTCTCAAAAAACTTTAATGTAAAAAATATATATACTGAAAGTTTATTACATTTACTATTGCGTACAATTTCTAAACTTGTTGGTTTTTTAGTTTCGCCATACGTTAACAATTAGCAAGTCATTAGACTCGCCTCTACAATTTCTGTTTAAAATAGGTACTGACAATTACGAATAAGCATCAACTTTGAAGAGACTCTTGTCTGACAGCTCAGCCAAAAAAACCGATTCAAGCTCTTTGTCTCATTGGATCAATGATTCTTTGGTTTAATACCTGACACAATAGAATCTCCTCAAATATGTTTATTGTGTTCTCTGGTTTTCCAAAAGCTCAGTGTTACCTGACACAATAGAATCTCCTCAAATATGTTTATTGTATTCTCTGGTTTTCCAAAAGCTCAGTGTTACATCCGCCTCTCTTAGCAGCTTATTTTGAACACAGAGAAAGGTGTGAGTGTACATAAAAAAAACAATGACCTAAGGGTGTTTTACGTTATTTTTAATAACCTAAAGAGGATAAGTTTTGGGATTAGTAAATTTTCGTTTGAATATCGCAGAAATTACACAGTTTAAAACTTTTTCCGTCCAAGATATCCATGAATTTTATTATATCCGGTTTTTATAAATTTAGATGTTTGCCAATAGTTATAGAGTATTTTTCAGTCTATTGAACGGGATCAAAAATTGTGTTCGTTATATCCCGAAATTTGTTAAAAGCCGGGTTCGCAGCAGCGGTGTTTGATAGTGTTTTGGATAAATTAATCAAAGTTTTATTTTATTGCCTAGAAATCATTCTCCATACATAATGATGCGATCCTTCATTGCATACTAAAAGCTCTTGGGTGGATTCAGAAATAAGAACAATGCTATTGACTTCTGTGTTATTTTTTGCTTTGTTTTTGCAGGGTGGGTCTGGACTAGCCGGGGCTTTCTGAGAGCACTGAATGTAGTAGACATAGCAGGCTGCTCCGCAGTTCATCTTGTGGGAGGAGCGTCTGCCCTGGTGGCGGCCATTATGCTCAAGCCTCGTCTGGGGCGTTATGACAATGGCAATGCAGTCAACTTGTCTCTAGGCTCTCCAACCAACGCCTTGGTGGGGATGTTCATGCTATGGTAAGCAAAGCAAAATTAATGCCTGTCTTTAATGTAATTATCGGTGTAATTTAAATTGTGTTTTATCATTAATTGAGCGCGCAATGGAGATATGGATTTAATCTCACACTGAGCCATTAAACATATTTACCTGTCCATTAAACATATTTATTAAATCCCACTTTTTAAATGAAATGGAAACTGCAGATATAGACTGGACTGGAGAATAAGAATAATATTATGGGATTTTAACATTGTTTGTAAAAAACGTAATTGAAAAATTATTTAACGTAACAAATAATAAAGATATATATATATTCTAACAGAAAATCCACACCTTTTGTTACCTTTACGTTGCATAATAGTAACTTTATACGCTTTAACAAATATTACATAGGTCATTAAAATAGCGCAATTTTATTGATCACTCTTTCATCTTATATTTTAAATCGGTTATTCCTTTAAATTGAACGAAATATTACACAAAATAGTATTTAGAGATTCTTAAAATGCTTTGCAATAAATAACGAGCCATTTTCATTGGCTTCACTAAATCAGATTTGAAATTTTATGTCAAAATTTTAATTATTTCATAGTTCACACAATAAGATGTAATTTAAGTAACACATTTTTGCTAACGTTTAAAATCTTTATTACATGGCCTATAGAGTCTATGGGTATTCTTTGGTAACATACAATCTTTGACCCTATGTGGAAGACGTAGTAGCGAATTCTCGATATGTCTTTTTGAAAATAAACTTAAGAAGAATGTTTTAAAATAACCTTTTATTTTAAAATAAAAGAACATTGCACGCACTTTGTGCTCACGAATCACCACCACTTGTGGCTACGTAAATTAACAGAAAAATAAGAATGTAACAAATCACAAGTAAATTAAGCTTGACTCCTTAGCTTAACCTCTTCGTCGTTCGTAACACGTCTAGTGCGTTTAAATGAAACTTCCGCAGGGCGGCCATAACGCGCTACAAGCGTTCTTCTACATTTTAAAACTTTTAAAGGTTTAAAATGCTTTCTAAATGTTTACTTGTTTGAGCTTTATTTTTGTTTGTTCTAATACCTCTATAGAGTGCAGTACTAATCAGGCATTCTATTTCTAATTGAATTCGCCCCGTTTTTTATGTATATTAGCGCTATTTTACATAATATATAAGACAGTGAGAGATGGCTTCAACGTCTACTCAGAAAAAGAGAAAAAAATGCGGTTGTGAATTGGAAAAACAAGAAGGATATACGTTGATGAGTACAGTCCATAATAACTCGATGATTGATGTTGGAACACGGAAAAGAACTGTAAAAAAACCAATAATTGTAAAAGATTACAACAACAATGGGAGGAGTGACCGCCTGGATCAGATGTACAAATTATCCTGCGGTTAGAAATAGCAGAGATCTATTATTTTTTCATTATGCTCTATTTCCTTATAATTTTACTTAATATTCATTGGCATTCATCCACTACGAAAGTCATGTATGGAAAATTATGATGTACAGAAAAAACAACATTACACGCTACGAAAAACAGACGTCCGCTGGGGGGGGGGAATTTTGCGGACAGGAGAGGACGTAGAAAGGGTTAACTAACGCTAAATCGGCTGCACACATCAAAGCCGAGCCGAGAAATATTAGTATAAACTGAAGGTGTCGAACACCGACCTAGAGAATTAATTTTAAACTCGCAACGTAGACATCGGAACTAAGTCCGCTGCTACCACCCTTTTGATTTCTTGACACACAATTAAATATTGCTTCTAAAACACGTTTAGTATTTGCATCTACTTCATAACAAAATTTAAATTCCGGCAGAAAACTGAAATCAGGAGAGAAATGAAAAAAACTAAAAATAATTGGTTATAATACAACAAATCCTTGCAGGTCTATTAAAAGATGTGTATACATTTAAATTCATTATTGTGTATTAATACCGAACTTGTGAAAGAAAATTCATTATTGTGTATTAGTACCTAACTTAAAATAATCATACCTGTCATGAGCTAGGGTAGATTTAAGACAATTTTCCTGAATCTACACTTGCAAAATTACGTAGCGTGTCGAAATTGTCAAACTATATAAAGCCATTAGCAAGCAGACACATGACACAACAGCGGGCGGTTGTTTGAACCATAATGGTCAGTGTGTCTACGGCATATGCAGTTGTAATTTCTTGATGAAGGAATTTCAGTATTTTGATTTTCTGCATTACACTATTTCCTTCAAAGTCCCTGAAGGCCATTTTGATTCACTATCATGTGGCATGCGACACATATTACTATCATAAAAATACGAACATGTGTTGAGCATACACAACGTCATATTTGCAACAATAAGTAAGTTGAACTTCAAAGCCACTACCATCTGCTAAAGTGTGCATATACTTTTTCTTACGGACTCTGTATATTCCTTCTCCTTTGTGCACTCTATTAGTATATGTAAATAAAAAGATTTTTAAAATAGAAATAAAAATCTAAGCTAACGAGGACTGGATTGGCCTTAAAGAAACTCTCCGGCTTATTTCCAAATTAAGCGATACTTCCCACCAATGGGTGCATTTCCCTTTGCTTCTGAGTATATGGTAGTATTTCGTGAAATTCACTGACTTAGGTATTGAAATAATTTATACTATGAACTGCAACAAAATTGAATTCCTGTTGTCTATTATTTCCATGAGAAACAGAAGTAAATTTGTATCCATTAACTTCTTCTGTTCTTCGAGCTCAATACATTTTTAGATCTATTTGGTAAACTGCTATTAAAATAATAATAAAACACTTAGGAAGAAAATTCGTCTTTTAAGGTAAAATTTAAACTAGTTTTAAATCAAACTGAGTTTAATCTTAACAACTTGACTGCCACCATGGGCATGCCTTTTCACAGTGGCCTTACTTAGTAGTCAGTCAGTCACAGAAGCCGCGTGCATCGAATGGGAATCATAAGTTTTGTATTGTTCGGAGCCGTGTGAGTCACCGATGCTTCACAAACACACAGATTTATATGGTTAAAATTATATTGTACGGCCTCAGAAAGTTGCTCCGTATTCTTGGTTTCCGGATTCTGCAAGCTTCTTTCCATAAATTATTATATGATTTTAATATATATTTTGTTGCATTAACATTTAAGTAATTATTATTTATGTAAATTCCATCTTAAGTAATTTCATTACGTAACTGTTATTTATGTGGTACTGAACTGATTAGACAAAAAAAACACTAGATTTAAAAAAAAATTTTCCCACAAAGTATTTTACCCGATTTCGCTCTGCAATCAACATTGTTAAAACATGGTCACGATTTTCTCATTCTGTATTATACCTTATTCTATCAAAAGTAATTTTTTAACGCATGATTGCTTTCTTATTTAAGTTATAAATATTGTTCGATTTCCTCATATTTTATTCTTCCAGTAAATTCTCATAATGTCCAAGACATACATTTGAAAAGGAGGTTTCTGAACTAATTTCTTAATTAACATAAATATTTCTATTTATCATATCTTACACCTCGTTTCATCTTTGTTGAAAGATAAAATTTATCGTCCTTCAAAGTCTCCTAATATGTTTAATGGGAATATTAAAATATTATGAAAATCGACACCAGATGATTCGCAGCGAAATTACATAGTCAAATAATATCACCGTTCACTGGATTTTATCTTTTTTAGCTTAAAAAATAGATTAAGAATTTATGAAGTAGATATGAAGCATGTTCCGAAGAAAAGTAATTAGCTTTTGAAGTCTTTACTAAATAAATGCTTGAGATATCAATATGTTTTTCACGTGCACTTATCTATAAAGAAATGATGAATTTTAAAATGTTGCCTTTGATATTTTGAACCACTTGAAAGCGGGGCTCAAACACAGCAGCAGGATAAATCCTTATCTTTCAAGTTCACAACATAAGCATAATGAATATTATTAACTTGTTATTATTAGAAATACTGATTACTGTTCAGGACCACCTGATCAGAGGAAGTGTCAAAATAAAATAAAGCGCAATATAAATTAAAACTTTCTGCGCAGAATTTTTATGAAAATTTCTGTTCAGCATTTACCATAACAAGTATAATAAAGCTGCATAACTATTTAAATTAAGCTAAGCTTAACCTGCAAAATTAGGGGGAAAATGTCCTGCTCTTCATGAAATTTCCTTTTCTTCAGGAGCTAAAGTAATTTTTATTTCTTGAAAAAGTGTGTCTCTATTTCTGACCGCCTTCAAAATCCATAGCGTTTTGTAGATGGTTTGGTTTATTTGATTACGATAAAACACACTAGGGTTATCTGTCAAAAATGGGGAATGCCTTCATGCAGGACTTTCTAAGGGGAACTGGCTCATTCACGTTACGCATAGGGAAACCACGAAAACGCCTATGTAGCCAGCCTGTTCGCCTACAACAGAGCCCAGGTCGAACTAACAGTCAGTGAATCTCAGTCAAGTCAGTGACTTTGCCACACGGCCACTGGTGGACTCGTACATTTCGAATTTGGTTGATTTTTTTTTGCCTAATTCTAAATTAATTTTCTTTTCATTGTGAACTACGTTACTATATTGATGAATGAATTTTCACTTCATCTTGCAACACAAACTGATGACAACAAACACTAAAATATTTATTGTTACTTCAATTTAAAGTTTACAAAATAAAGAGATTAACGCATTAAACTACATCTGCTTGTCATATTTTATTAGAATATGGGTTTGATATTTACAATCCAAAGCTCTAAAGCCTGGCAAACTGGCTCCTATTGCCTAAAGCATACTGATTCACTCTGTTAATCTGATAAGCAATGAAGTATTAGAGTTGAAAGTTATGTTAAAGACAATGCGTAATTAATGATAATTCATCGATTTCTAGCATCTAGTTTTATTTTGAAAACACCTCGATGAAGAATTATTATTTGTTGTTAAGAATTAAAATTCCGTTAAGGAAAATCCTCTTCTGGCAAAATAAAATTCATAGACCTGATCTATAAGCTGATGGTGAAAAATGGGAAATACTTAAAAGCAACA